CGGATTTTTCCTTTGATCTTCGCAAAGAATACAAGGGAGAGCCCTAAGGAAGAAATAATGCGTATGCAGCTTTTGGCTTGCTGCACAGTTACGGCTAGCAGTTGAGCAAGTACTGCATGGTTGGTGGCCTACATTTCTGATTTCGCACTCCCTTTTAATCACTGGTAAAGAGAAGGTTTGGAGGAAAAATTAGTGGTAGGTCAAAAAACAAACTTGCTGAAAATGTTTAATAAACATGCCTCAAAATCGCACAGCGTTACTCGCGGGAACATCCCTGTTTGTTCCCACTCGATTTCGTGCATAAGGTCCTTCAGTAAAGAGAAGCCATAAGCTAGGTCATTCGAGCCGAGCAAATGATTCAAAAGAAAAAATTGCAGAAGAACATTAGCCGAGTATAGAATCTGGAATGAACTCCGTATGATGAACGATCCGAAAGAATGGACTAAAGACGCACTTTTATACCAATGTAGAGCATAGTGACGTAACAACCGCAGTGCCGCCCACAGTTTGCTCCCACTTGCATATGGGTGAAGCATGTCCGCGAGTGTCCAGTTCGGTCGATGTTCGTCAACTAAAACAAAATTGAAGGACTTTTGTTGAGGTCTCAGCGGTTCACTCTTTGTTGGTTTCCCACGATAAGGGACCATTTTTAACACTTTGACGACCGTGTCATTTTCGACTACATCAAAATGGACCAATTTAAGAGCTACGGCAATGTCCTGTGTTCTATATGACAACAAGGCCACCAGTATTATCACTGCATAGTAGTTACCTTAGAACTTTTCGTTTACACATGAAAAGTTAATCAACGAAGTGCTAAAAGGTGGTGAGGGCGTGCATACGCCCGCATGCACAAGGTCGTCAACCTGTTGATGCGTTGGTACACACAAATGTTCATGATGTACATTGCCCAGTTACACAACAAGCGTAGTTCAGAATATTGCTTCAGAAGAACTCTTTTTTACCTGCACTTCATCCTGCATATGTCGCGCCATAGTGTAGACTGTTCTCGTCTTTACTTCGGAATCCATCAATCGAGCATCACAAGCCATTTGGACTAGGCCTTGTAAGTTTATTCCTGTAAAGAAACAGAGTGTTACGAGAGGTGGTAATCTGACAAAAGAAGTGCTTTTAGTCGAAGTGGCCTTCCCAACTTTCACCTATATTATGTACTTTGAAAAGCGCTAAATGCTGATTTCAAATCTGTTTTGCCAAGCTCCTCTTGACATTTTAGCACAAGAATCAAACACAACTAAGAATCAATTGCTATTTTCTTTCCAGCAACTAAATAGAGCAGTGTTGTGCATGCTAATTCGAAGAAAGCATTCACTGCATGAAGTGCTCTAATGTTCAAAAGCGGATCGTTTGAAATAATATTTCTCTTATGAGCGTCGAAGTTTCTCTGCATTTCCGCTTACCGCTGTGCCAATAAAGAAGTCCTCTCCAAAGTATACACGGCACGTAAAAAAGAAGTGCCTCTATTGCCAGTATGAAAGGCACCCATTGATAATAACCAATTTGTCGATTGCGACGTGAGTAGATTTCGCGCGGAATATCCTCCTAAACGCTGTGCATTCAAGTGGCTCTATATGTAGTAGTTTAGTAGATCTTAAAATACACTGGGGACGCACCTGCATTGGGACCCAGTAGGTATTCTGCACCCAACAATAATTCTCCGTATACTGCTCCATCGCATCGGTAAATGTTGCCGGAACCCAACATTGGATTGGGAAACCTGAACGACAATGTTGCCTCAGTGAAACATTTGGAAAACAAAAAAGGGAAAGGGTCCGCTCAATCACTGGGTCCCTTCGCTGGGACTGTCATGCTCATAACTGCAATCAAGAACAGGGTACTCTCTGCTGCTTTACCCAATTTTACATACGTTATTTCATGGCATCGTGCATATAATCCGGTGAGCCGTGTATCCCAACACATTCTACTGTTGATATAATGTTATTACTGCGTCGGCGACATCTGGCGTGAACAGTGACAATGCACTTTGGATTCTCAACGCGCAAGCTGCAAGCATGTTGCCGGCATTCAGAAGCGTGGCGTTTGTTTTCGCGCAAAAGTTGTCGTCATGAGGGGCCTGCACGAAGATCACAAAGTGTATGTAGTCAAAGTTGCTGAGAGGTGCATTTTCATCTACAGAGGAAGTTGACGACCGGAGATGTGAGCGTTGTTCTTTGTGCAAGCAATCACTAAGTTTATGGTGAGTAGACGTAACACTTGCCAAACAGTTGACTTACCGACATATTGTTTCGCCGAAACAAGTAGTGCAAAGGAGGCTACTGAAAAGCTTTGGTATAAGAAAATAAGTTGTCTATGTTATGTTCTGGATAAACTTACAAATGGTGGTAGTATAATAGTAATTGAGCTTGTCGACAAAATCGTCGTCTAATCGTGGATACAAAGCTCTAAATGCAGATGCAAGATAGTAGAGAATCATCGCAGGACCAAACTCCTTTTTATGACCGTGGCCTGAAAGTGGCCACTTACAATCTCATTGGAAATCCCTAAATCTCTGCTAAACCAGTGCTGCTAATGTACTATCGGATATGTCAAAAGTGAAATCCATTACCAGCGCCGTGGCCCGGAGCTCCAACGTGATGCGTGTCTATTCGTAGTTGATGTGACCCGTCCAGTAGTTTCTGTGCCTTGAATGTGATGATAAGTTGTGATAAATGAAAAAAGGAAGTGAAAGAATAAATAATGACCGTCTTGTGAATATTTGGAACTTGCCTTTCTCAGATATTTGCCATTAGCTTGGTTTTTTTGAACCATTTGCATAAAACTTGACGCTAGTGGCGAAGATAAGTGAAGGATTCACCAGGGGCAGACATAATAGAAAAACGCTACTCTTTCCGAAGAAAGTGTAAGGATGAGCACTTTCTCACTGGTTCTCGTTTGTACTCGGGACGAGCTTTATTAGGACTGCGCTAGCGTTCCCTGATCATCTAAATGATATTATCCCACTGAGATAGGGGCACGGCCCACGGGGGAAATAGTGCGCAAAGTGGAGCGACTATACAGAAAAGAAGCAAGAATGCTCTCGCGTGCATATAAATGAAAAAAGTATGGCGAAAAAGCCACTGCGACAAATGAAATCGTTAAATTTCCAGGTCAACAAAACAAAGCCCTGATGCACTCTGCAGGAAAAGCTGGCTGACGGCCAGCTGAGCCTCTTCGCAAATGAGAGATACCATGCTGCTGACTCCATGGCGAGCATTTTGACTTATGTAACTTCCGTAACTTTCTTTCAAAAG